TTTTCCTCCTCCTGCTCATGTCCCTCCTCCTGTGCCTCCTCCTGTTCCACCCCCTTCTCCTCCACCTCCTCCTGCTCATGATCCTCCTACTCCTCCTTCTCCTTCTCCTCCTCCTCCTCCTCCTCCTCCTCCTCTCCTCCTCCTCCTCCTCCTTCTTTCCTTTCTCCGTAATAACCTCTCCCCGGCGAATCCCGAGGCCATTTGGAAGGGCGGGTCAGGCGTTTCGCCTGAGACCTCCTTACCACTCATGGGCCTGAAGCTTGTTTCCTAAAGAATGGAGGGCGGGAGATGTTCAAAATGTGGCTCTCGCCTTAGTCCCGCGCACATTCGCTTCAACAATTTGCAAGAGCTTCACGGATTGAGGACGGGTGGCTTTCAACATGTACTTATCGCCTTAGCCCCGCGAGCATTCGCTTCAAAGATGCAGGAATTTGATGGATTGAAGGCGGGTGGTTTTCATAATGTAACTCTCGTTTTAGCGCCACGAAAATTCGTTTTGAAATTTGCAAGATCTTCGCGGATTGAAGGCGGTTCCTTTTCAAACTGCGGCTCTCGCCCAAGCGCCGCGCACATTCGTTTAGAACATTTGCAGGAGCTCCACGGATTAAGGGCAGTTGGCTGTCGAAATTTGGCTCTCGCATCAGCGCTGCACACATCCGTTTCAAACGAATGCAAGGACTGTTCGGATTGAGGGCAGCTCCTTTTCAAAATGTGGCTTTTGCTTTATCGCCGCGCACATTCGTTTCAAACATTAGCAAGACTTCCACCGATTTACGTAACATAATCGGCGTTTTGGACCGATTCTCAATTGTCAGAGCGCAACAGTTACATTGGTTCCCTGTGTTGAAGTCCCAGGCATGGTGTTCTGGTGCGACTCGTGATCGCCAAGACGCAGAGGTCAGGTTAACCCGTGGCGTTGAATGGTCGCTGCATTTGGGTCGTGGTGATGAAGAGGTCTGGAAATGGCCCTGGAACTAGAAACCATCATTCTTGCATAGAATAAACCGCTTGCTGCGTGTACTCAATGCTGTTCTGGTTTGTTCATTCGGTAGCGCGAGTTGATGAAACCGTTCCTCGTTCTGATCAAGCATCGCGGTTTCCAAACAATCCTTACAAATGCGCAATGATCCACTACCACTACCCATGTTGTTCGGTGATTCAAGTCCCGAGAATAGTAATTAGGCACGCTTCCCGATTTCCGCACAGTTGTCCTCCAACGCGGCGATTCCCTCAGTGGACAGGAACCCTTCTTGGGGCCTATGAAGAGGGAGCCTGGAGCTAGGGTGTATTCCAACATCGTTGAGCAGTGGGTTTACACTGGTCCTCCTCCTCATCATCCTCCTCCTCCTCCTCATCGTCCGTTTCCTGTTTACTGTCTCGTGCCTCCTCCCGCGCGCCAAGTTTCCCAGCCCCGACTCCTGACCCTCCGGTTCCCCCCTTTGCGACCCACCGCCTCGGGGATCCAGATCTTGAATTTGCCGTAGCCCTGGTAGAGATCCACCGAGACGTTGGCGGGCTGAGCGGCAAGCAAAACGTGGATGAGGATGAGGCAGGGCGAGAAAGTCTGGTAGGCCAAAATACAACCAGGCAGCCCTCTGGTCCCAGGCTGGGAGGGGTGAAGGACGAGGAGGGGGCGGGCGGCGGGGAGGAGGAGGCGGGGGGGGGGCGGGATGGGGGAGGGCAGGGGGAGGAGGAGGGGAGCCTGGGGAGGGGGGGGGGGGGAGGGCGAGGGGCAGGCGGAGGGGGAGGGGGAGGCCCGAACCCCGCCCGTCTGCATGCCCCACCTCTCAGGCCCCTGCGGGCCTCCGCGGGCCGCGCCCGCCCGCCTCCGCTGAGGGCGTCGGGGCCAGCCTCGGGAGGCGACGCCCCTCCTCCGGTGGAGCCCAACCGCGCAGGAACGAGAAGCGCCGCTCTTGCTCCGGGCCCGTTGGGCGGGCGAGGAGGGCGAGGAGGGCAGCGCGGAGGGCGAGGAGGACAGCGAGGGGGAACAAGAGGACTACGAGGAGGAAGGCAAGCAGGCACAGCGACGAGGAGGTTAAGAACGAGGAGGACGAGCCAGAGGAGGGAGGAGGAGCAGGACGACGACAAGAAGGCGATGCCCTCTCTGTGGACTCCGCCACCGCTCCGCATCGCAACTGGGGGCGTGGTGGGATTCCAAATGCTGCCCGGCATGGCTCCTGCAAGTTGTTTGAAGGCGCCCCCCCCTCCCCTCCCACCCAACCGCGCGCGTCCCCCCCCCCCCCACACACACCTCCCGAGGCCCCCTGGGTTTTCCGACAACCCCCTGGCGATTTCCAGGGCGCCCAAGACGCCCATGGTGGTTTCCAGGACGGCCCAGGCAGACCGCCAGGGCCGCAAAAAAACACGTTTGCCCTGGCAGGTCCCTGGCACGCTTCAGGGCGCTGGTTTCCTCGACGGCCTGGGCAGACCACCAAGGCCATGAGCTTAACTTAGTACTGCTTCAAGGCGCAACCAAGAGCGGTTCATAAGCGCCCAATAGATTCCAAGAGGCCTCCAACGAGGGCCCAAGAAACACACGCGCGCACACGCACACACACACACACACACACACACACGCACGCACGCACGCACGCACGCACGCACGCACGCACGCACGCACACACACACACACACACACACACACACACACACACACACGCACACGCACACGCACACGCACACGCACACGCACACGCACACGCACACGCACACGCACACGCACACGCACACGCACACGCACACGCACACGCACACGCACACGCACACGCACACGCACACGCACACGCATACACATACACATACACATACACGCACACGCACACGCACACGCACACGCACACGCACACGCACACGCACACGCACACGCACACGCACACGCACACGCACACGCACGCACGCACGCATACACTTACACGCAGTCCAGTCGCACGCAGCGGAGGCAGAAACCGCTCGGGCAAGGGTCGATAACGCGCTAACTGCGGATCAAGGCTACCAAGGTTCGACCTGGGAAACCCTGCATGTGAAAAGGGGGGAAAACGCGCCCCCTCACTGGGCAGCGGCGGGAGCTGCGAAGGGTCACTGAAAGCGGCGCTGCCCAGCGTGGGCGAATCGGCGGGGGAGCCCTCGTCGGACCCCGGGGAAGAAGGCGCGTAGACGCGGAGCGCTTCTCGCAAGCAGTCCAACCCACCTCTGGACCTGTGGGACTTGCGGGACATGTCGGACCTGTGGGACCTGTGGGGCCTGAGGGACCTGCGACACCTGTGGTCCCTGTGGGACGATATGCGTCACTTGTGGGACCGGTGGGACCGGTTGGACCTGCGGGGCCTGCTGGATCTGCAAGACCAGTGGGAAGAAGCTGATCTCGGACCCGGCTGAACTCGGACCCAGCTGAACTCGGACCCGGCTGATCTCGGACCCGGCTGCTCTCGGACCCGCTGAACTCGGACCCGGCTGAACTCGGACCCGGCTGATCTCGGACCCGGCTGATCTCGGACCCGGCTGATCTCGGACCCGGCTGAACTCGGACTCGGCTGATCTCGGACCCGGCTGATCTCGGACCCGGCCTGCCCCCGGCGCTCCTCCCGGCTTCCGGCTGGGGTTCTCCCGCCCGGCGCTCCTCCCGGCCTCTGGCCGGGGTGCTCCCGGCCCGGCCTCTGGCCGGGGTGCTCCTGGCCCGGCTCCACAGGCCGGCGCTCCCCCGGCCGGCGTCTCCCAAGCGTCTCCGACCCGGCTGAACTCGGACCCGGCTGAACTCGGACCCGGCTGATCTCGGACCCGGCTGAACTCGGACCCGGCTGATCTAGGACCCGGCTGATCTCGGACCCGGCATGCCTCCGGAGCTCCTGGCTTCTGCCTGGGGTTTTCCCGCCGGCCGCTCTTCCCGGCCTCTGGGGCCTCTGGCCGGGGTGCTCCCGGCCCGGCTCCACAGGCCGGCGCTCCCCCGGCCGGCGTCTCCTCGGCGTCTCCGACCCGGCAGAACTCGGACCCGGCTGATCTCGGACCCGGCTGATCTCGGACCCGGCTGAAGAACTCGGTCCCCGGCTCCACGGGCCGGCGCTCCCCCGGCCAGCGTCTCCTCGGCGTCTCTCGGACCCGGCTGCTCTCGGACCCGGCTGATCTCGGACCCGGCTGATCTCGGACCCGGCTGATCGGACCCGGCTGATCTCGGACTCGGCCTGCTTCCGGCGCTCCTCCCAGCTTCCGGCTGGGGTTCTCCCGCCCGGCGCACCCCCCCGCCTCTGGCTGGGGGTGTTCCTGGCCCGGCTCCACGCCGGCGCTCCCCTGGCCGCCGCCGTCTGACCGCCATCCCGCCGTCTCGGACCCGGCTGACCTCGGACCTGGTCTCGCCTGGGCGCTCCCGGCGCGCCCGTCCTCTCTGGCTGCACTCGGACCCGGCTCATTTCGGACTTGCCTGAACTCCGACTCCGTTGATTTCGCTATTGGCTGATCTCAGACCCACCTCCTGCCAGGTGCGATCCCGCCGGTCCTCCCGACTTCCGCCTCGGGTTCTTCCGGCCGGCGCCCTCCCGCCTCCGGCGCTTTCCCGGTCGGCGTTTCCTCGGCGGTCTGGCGCTGTCCCGGGTCTCGGCCGGCGCGCCACCGGCGCTCACCCGGCGGCTCCGGCGCCTCCCCGGCGCTCTCCTGGTGCCTCAATGCCCGCGGCGAGCACGCGAGAGCCCCACGTTGAAAAGTAACCTCCCTCCATCCCTGCACTGCGACAGACGTTCACGACGATTGTCCGCGGCCAGCAGGCGAGAGCCCCATTTTGGAAAGGAACCTCCCTCCACCCGTGTAACAGACTTCAAGACGACTGCACGCGGCGCTAAGGCGAGAGCCGCATTGTGAACACAAACCGCCCTCCATCGTGTAAATGTTGCACAATAGTACACTTCAGGATCATACATGGCGATCGTACATGGCAAGGGAGTCTCTGGCGAACCGCCTGCCTCCCCCCCCCCACACACACGTTCCGTGGTGCGCCAGGGAGGATTTCTTTTCAAGGGAAGAGGATGGAGGAGGACGAGGAGGAGCGGGAGAAAATGAAGAACGGGAGCCGTGGCCGTCTTACGGGCTCTGTGGCCGCCCTGTTCGTGCGTGTGGGCGGTTTTGAAGGTGTCCTTGGGCCCAGGGCGGGCGGCCCTACAGCACTTCCTCCATCCTTTCACATGGGCCACAGGAGCATGCTCAGACGCCCACGCCGTACAGGCATGCACTTGGATATTGACGTGCATTTTCGCGCGGTGGCTCTCAGGCTCAGAATGGCCATGGCAATGTCGACGGTGATGATGGCAGCGACGGCGGACTACGATTCCGACGGCGACGACTGCGGCCACGGAGACCATCACGACGACGACGTCGACGACGACGACGTCCTCTTCCTCCCTCCTCCCTGCTCCTCCTTCCTTCCCTCCTCCTTCCTCCTTGCTCCTCCCCTCCCGTCTCCTGTGCAGGAGACTCGGCGGCAGCTGTAATCCCGGGAATGGGTTCCAGGGGATCTTTCTCCGGCCTTTGTGGCCTTGCACTCTGTGTCTTTCAGGTGTGGCATGCGTTGTCATGCCTTGCGTTGTCATGCATTCCATTGTTGTGCAATGCAGCGCAGCTCTTTCCAAGTTTCCATTGCACTGCCTTGCATTGTTCTGCCTTCTTGACTTCGCTTTGCGATACATTGCATTCCATTGCGATCCATAGCATTCGCTTTGAGTCCTTTGTGGGTTTTCCATTATGCCCTCCGCCTACACCTTTTATGTCGTCGCGCCATTCCCAACCCAACCACGTTTTTTCACAGGGACCTTGGCTCAAGCGTTTCCTTTCGATCGCACTGCCTTCTGCCAGCCATCCGGTTCCATGGCATCCGCGACCTTCCGAGCGCTGCCCTCTTGCTTGATTAGCCTACGGCGTCGAGAAGACAAGCGCGACGTTGCCTTCCAGGTGGCAGCCGGTCTGGGCATCGAGCCGACGTGGTTGGCGGGAACCGATGGGGATTCCCTCAAGGCACGGAGTGGGTATGCTAAGCGTTGCCAGGGCGGGCCGGGCGGCCGGGCGCTTTGCTCCTGGTTCGACGCCGCACACAAGACGCGCCGTATTCGGTATGTGCGAAATGCCAAGTCGAATTGGGGCACGCATTGGGGGACCTGGGGCTGTCTGATGAGCCACGAGCGTGCTTTGGCGCAGCTCCAAGACGTTCCTGCCCTCATCGTCTTGGAAGACGACATCCGCCTGGCAATCGATGCCAAGGAGGCCTGCGCGATGATTGCGCAGGCTCTCCGTTGCATCCAAAAGGACCACAAGGATTGGCTGATCCTGTACCTTGGCTGCTCTACCACTCCGTGGTCTGGGCCCTTGCGCAGGGTGCGCGGAGGGCCGGCTGGTTTGTGCTACGCCCGGCAGGCTTACCAGAGCCATGCGTTCGTGATCTCGCAGGCGGGGGCCGAGATTTACTGTGAATACCTTCGCAAAGGCTTCCCTGCGGACAACGCGCTGCTGAACATGGTGCGTCAGTGCCCCAAGATGCGCTTTGCCCTGGACCCTCTCGTGCTTACGCAGGAGCAGAAGCTCACGCAGAGCGACATCCGCGAGTCCACCGTGGCCGACCGGTCCGGCGCTCCACGCGCACGGAAAAGGGGCCACGCCAGCATCGCCAGGAGAAGGGCGTCGTTGCCGCAGGCGCAAGCGGCTGGGGGCGCAAGCAGGAAGGAGTGGCCCCGAAAGACGCGCCGAGCCAGCGCCAGACGCAAATCCAAGCGCACGCAGACCAAGGCCGGTTGTCGCGGTCCCCACACCCTGTGCATGTCGGGGTGGGCGTCTTGCTCCGCGGGCGCCCAGGCAAAAGTTGCGCGCCCCAGCGTCCGGGCGGCCATCGTGGAGCGATGGGGCCAGGCGACGGCGCTTTGCTTGGCCTGCCAGACAGCATCCTCCAGCCTCCGGCACAACCCGCCGCCGCCCATTGTCCCCCACTTGGCATTTTCCCCTGAGGCGTAAGGGTGACCCCGTCAATGTGTTCTCAGCGTTTCGTGCTCCATGGGCATGTCATGGTCCTCATGGGGGGCCTTTGCAAGGATGCCACGACTGCAGATTCGTGCGGCCATGGCCTGCTAATCGGCTCTCCTGGTCTGCCGCGAGCGCATCCGCTTCGACTCTTTCCCCGACCGCGCGCGCTCTTGTGCGCGCGCAGGGGCTCTCTCAGGCGCGGCCGCGCCACCCGGTGGCTTTCCGCCTCTTTCCTGCCCGCCATGGAGTCCCCGGCGCGCGGGCGCGCGCGCGCGCGATGGCCATGCCGCCCAGATGGGACGCACGGATCGCCTCTTCGTCTCCATGTCTCACCCCGCGCATGCCATTCCCTGCGCCGCCATTTCCCGCGCGCGGAGCATCGACGGGCCACCGCTGGGCATGCGCCAGTTTTGCGAATGCACTCTTTCCGTTTCAGCGACCTCGCGCCCGCAGCATCTCTCGCGCTCCCGCGGAGGTCCACGGGGCACCTGCCGCGCGGAGTCCGTTCTTTCTTGCCTGCGTTTTTTTTTGCGGTGCGTCCTCCATGTGAGTGCGGAGCGGCAGCGCCCGCTTTCCCGGGCGGCGGACTCTCGCGTTCCGCGCGCGGGCCCGCGTCGGGGATTCCAGAGACAATCTCTGGCTCCGGCCCTGCGCGCTCGCCGCGCAGGGGCCGCCTGCCCGCTGGCGAGCCGCCGGGATACACGGCGCGGTCCGTCTGCGCGCCATCGCGGTCGCGGGAGCCCGGAGAAGGTGGCGGCGAACGTTTCAGGATGCGCTCCTCGCGCGAGGCCGGTCGCCGTCGCCGTCGGCCCCGCGCGCTGGGGGGCCCTGTGGCGCATGAGGGGCCACGAGCGTGCTCTGGCGCAGCTCGAAGAGGCTCCTGCCCTCATCCTGTCGAACTCCGCCTGGACATCGAAGCAAATGCCGCCTGCGCGATGATGGCGCAAGCTCTCCGCTGCATCAAAATTGAGCACGTGGGTGGGCTGCTCCTGAACCTCTTCGCTACCGCGCCACTGCGTGGTCGGGGCCCCTCCGCCAGGTGCGCGGCGGGCTGCCTGTCCTGCGTCGCGCGCGGCAGGCGAGACGTGCGTTCGTGATATCCGAGGCGGTGGCGGATTCTTACGGGGAGTACCGCAACGCGCTGCTGAACACGCCCCTGGAAGCGGTTCGCCATGGGCCCTGCCTGGCCAAAGCATGAGCGGAAGTAGTCGCCGAGCGACTTCCGCAAGTCCACTTCCATCTCCGTGCGGCGCTCCAAGTGCATGGAAAAGGGGCCACTGCAGCAACGCGCAGAGACTGGCGTCGTTACCCCAGGTGCAAGCGGCAGGGAGCACCAGCAGGAGTGAGTGCCTCGGAAAGCCTCGCCCACCCAGCGCCAGACGCAAAACGCAGCGCTCGCAGACAAAAGCCGGATGCCGTGGCTCCCGCGCACTGCGCATGTCCGGGTGGGCGTCTTGCTCCGCGGGCGCCCAGGCAAAAGTTGCGCGCGCCAGCGTTCGGGCGGCCATCGTGGACCGACGCGGACAGGCGACGGCGCAATGCTAGCCAGACACCGCCCTCCAGTCTCCGGGAAACTCGGCGCCGCGCTTGTTCCCAAATCGGACTTCTCCCGTGCGCCTTACGAGTTACTCCCCTAAGTGTGTGTCCGTGTGTGCGCGCGTGTGTGTCTGTGGGTGTGTTCGCAAAGGCTTGTCTGCCATTGGAACTCCACGGGCCTCGTCGCGGGGCTTTGCATCTCTGCCGTCGTTGCAGAGTTGCGCGGGCATGGCCTGCTGCTGGGCTCGCCTGCTCTGACACGCGTGCTTCCGATGGTTGTCTTCGCGCGACCGCGCGCGCCCCTGCGTCTGTGCAGGGGCTCTTTCAGCAGGCGCGGGCGCGCCACCCCGTGGCTTTTCGCTTTCCACTTGCCCTCCGCGGAGTTCCGGCGCGCGCGCGCGCGGTGGCTGCTCCGCGCAGATGGGCTTCGCGGACCAGTCGTTTTCCAAAATTCTGGCGCCCGCGAAGGGCTTTCCCTGCACCGGCGATTCCCGCGCGCAGGACATGGACGGGCCCCCACTGGGCCCCGCGCGCGCGGATGCTGCTACTTCCATGGCAGCGCGCGGACGCACGTAGCATCCCCAGCGCTCCCGAGGACGCCCACGGGGACTCCTGCCGCGCGGACGCCGTCCTTGCCTGCGCGTTCTAAGCGCACGTCCTCCATGTCTGCGCGGACCCCAGGCGGCAGACTCCTGTCTCGTTACGCGCGCGCCACGAAGTCAGGGAGTCCATGGTGAGTCTCTCGCAAGGGCCCCTCGACCGTGCGACAGAGGGGCCGCCGGGCCACTCGCCTGCGACTGCCGCAGTGCCGCTGGGACACTCGGCGGGGGGCGCCTGCGCGACATTGCGGTCGCGGGAGTCTGCTGAGGGCGTCTCCAAGCGTCTCCAGGAGCGCTGCCGTGGGCCCCGCGCATGTGTGGGCGCTGCGCAGTTGGGCAGCGCGGAGCGCCGCAACTCGCAGATGCCGCGTGCGTGCATTAGTCATGCCGCGCGCCGCGACTGATCTACACACGCGGCGCGAACGGTCCTCGCCGGACTGGCTCCACGCGCGCACGCGTGTCCCGTTCGGTACTCATGGATGCGGATTTGCGCAAGTAGCACATGCATCATCCAAGCGGCTGCACCGCCTGGACTGGATGCGATGGGCCGCTTTGCGTCTTCAGAACTTTTACATGACATGGTTTACAGCCCGCGCGTCGTGGCCGCCGAGGGTGCTCCACCGAAGAGACCCCTCTTGCGCCGCCATGCGTCCCCTCCACAACTTTCATCATTTTGACTCACACCTTTTCCCGGCATCGCGGTGACTTGCACCGAAGGCCTTGGCGGCGCCGGCCGCATGCGCCCCCGTCGCCCATGGCGGAACGGCCCACGCACGTTCCCCCGGCCCATGCAATGCGAAGGCCCCACTGCCCCCGCCCGCATGCGTCTCCGCAGTCCTCTTCGGGACACTTATCACACGTCGCGTGGCCTCATGGGGACCTCCACCGAACAAGGGCCCACTGGCGTGGCCCGCGCGCGTTCCCGCCGACCATGCCACCACTCACCACACTCGTTCCTTCGGACCCTGGGGAGCTCTACAGAATCCCCCACTGGCAATGCCCGCATGCGCTCCCGTTATCCAGTTCGGGACACCGCATGCACGTTCCATGGCCTCACGGATACCTCCACCGAAGGCCCCACTGGCGCCGCCCTCATGCGTCCCCGGTATTCAGGGCTCTTTTGGAGGCCCTCCTAGGGCCATATTGGAGGCTTCCTGGCCCCTCCTGGGGCTCTCTTGGGACCGTCCTGGGGCTCTCTGGG